GGTGACGACTAGTGGCGTCCGTCAAGGATGCCCATTATCCCCATTCCTATTCAATTTCATCATAGATGTACTAATGGACTTAACCCTAACTCACTTCAGCGACTCAGGGATTGACTTGCTACCAGGGAAGAATCTCGTTGACTTAGAATATGCGGACGATATAGTCCTTCTAGGCGAGGACTCTGACAAAATGCAGAGTCTACTGAACACCCTGAGCAACAACCTCCGCATGTTTGGCATGCGATTCGCCCCTATAAAATGTAAGATGATGCTGCAGGATTGGACTACACCGACCCCTAGATTAGAAATAGGAAGTGAAGTGGTAGAACACGTTGACCGCTTCACTTACTTGGGAAGTACCATCAGCCCCAACGGGTTGATCTCCGACGAAATTTCAGCACGAATACAGAGGGCTAGGTTCGCATTCGCCAGTTTTCGCCGTCTCTGGCGTAGACGCGATATCCGACTATCGACCAAAGGGCGTGTGTACTGCTCAACAGTCCGCTCCGTCCTCCTTTATGGCTGTGAGACCTGGCCATTGAGAGCAGAAGACATGAAAAGATTAGCTGTCTTCGATCATAGGTGTCTGCGTTCTATCTCCCGCGTGAAGTGGAATAATAAGGTGAGCAATACTGAGGTTAGGCGTCGAGTGCTAGGTAAGGCGGGGAAATCAATCGACGAGACTGTGAAATTGCATCGACTGAGATGGTTAGGACATGTTCTACGTATGCCTAGTCATCGCCTTCCTCGACAATGGGCAATGTTAGCTGATATAGGGTCAGGCTGGAAAAGAGCTAGCGGCGGTCAAACCAAAACATGGCACCAATCAATGAAATCCACAACAGTTAATCTAAGCCACGTAGGAAGATGTAGACTTCCTGGTTGGGGCCCTCGGGATGGTAAAAACCAATGGTTGGAAACAATTGGTGACATGGCTCAAAATCGTTCTCAGTGGCGCAGATGCATCCACTCCTTCTGACTTATGATTTCCAATTAAACTTTTGTTCTCCGTTATTACTATTCCTTTGTCTCACACCACTGTTTACTGTCTATATTTTGCATTTCTTCTACTTCCTTCTCTTGCTTTGCGTGCTACATGGATTGTGGCGACTTGAACTGCCGCACATATGTGCAAAGTTCTATGTCGAAAACAGACAGACAGATATATATACATATATATATAATGTGAGGGGATACAAAAGAGAAACCGACGAAGAACGAGACGAATCCTGAATTACAGTTACCATTACTGGTTAAAAGTCGTACATTTACGAAGCTACTTACGCATCGTTTTTAGTCTTTCTATACAGAGTGAACATTTACCAAAATATCGAACTACCTTACTTTCAATGTACACTTCGTCATAAACCAATCCCCGCTAGAGATCACTGAAACCCACGGAGCACTGGACAACTGTTTCGTCCTTGTCTAGGACTGCTCAGCAGTGAGCATAGACGACCACACTGGGAGTCGAACCCGTGATCTTCAGGTTACAGAACCAAGCTTATTGATCATTCAGACACTTGGGGAGGAATTTAATGGCCCTGCGAATTACAACATGCGTTAATTCATGATATAGCATTGGACGGGCATTCATTTCACTGTGATGTTTATGGTGGACTCCACTCGTCATGACCTCTCCCACTACTCCATCTTCAAGAAATCCATCCAGTGACCATCAATGAGCAGAAAGTTGGTATTTCGATTATTGGCCTTGTCACAGGCTCGACATTTGTGAGTGGTGGGGCCACAGGTGCATACTGCTGAGGAGTTCCAAACAAAGACGAAACGGCTGCCCCGTACTATCTGGCATTTGTTCGTGACGAAGTTTCCATTGAAATTAATACAAATCCCCACGAAAACTCATAATCAAAAGATTACATTAGATCAGAAATTTATGATCTCCCTCAAAATGTTTTAAAAAAAGAAACAATTAAAGTAATAGACTACAAACGGATAATCATGATTTGTTCTTCAGACTTCAGAAATGAGTGCTTAAAACCTTACACAGAGATCTCACTAACCTCTCCTTGAATGAATGTTAATCACAGAGATTTGATTCCCTCTTCTGTTGCTCCGTGACTATAAGTAATTCCAAGAACCAGAGCAGTGCCAACATTTTCATATTGTACAGTGATGGTAAAAGTTTGATCACAGACTGATATCAGTTTGAGAACCGTTGGAAACCACCAGGGAATACTAAACAGTTGTTTCGTCCTACTTTAAGACTCTTCATCAATACTCACCCATCGCCAGGGTTCTGGCTACGAGGCGAGCTCGTACAAAGAGCATTCAGCCACTAGGACCCGACTCAAATGGCCAGTCCATCAATTCTAACTTCTACACTAATTTGCGATTTCAGCACGAATACTAACCAGTGTCATCAGGGAGCATTTGTCCTCACTCCCAACTGGGTGGTCGCCACTGGTTACGACTTCTCACTGGAACTCAAGGCAACTTCGTCCTGCTGGTAGTCGCGCTAAAATCGTGAATTGGTAGAAATTAGAATTCATGAGTTGGCCATTGGGTCGGGCAGCACTGGCTTGACTTGCAACCAGAAGGTTCTGAGTCCGAACTGTGGTAGCCAGTATGTACTGCCGATGAGTTCCGAAACAGGACGAAACGGATGTCCAATAATCTCTGTCTATTTTCAATAGTTCTCTAACTGACATCAGTCCATGATCAAATTTGGAATAAATCAAATCTCGATAAGAAAACTCATAGAGATGGATGAAAGAACCATTAGATCCAAATCCCCTTCATTTAAGAATACACATGCTTACCCAAAGGATCTTCAGAAGTATTATCCGCTTTAAAGGAGGCAGGAAATGGAGGTTGTAGTTTTGGTCGAATTACATCCGAATAAATTGAATCTGAATAGTATTGTTTTGTCAATACTGACCAATCGACTGCATTTGATAATATGCCCTACAAAATTTTATTTAAAACAATTGAAATATTAGTAATATAGGACAGATAAAGGATCAGGTTAAACAACATGAGAGTAAATCACAAAACAATTTCTAGCAAAAGCTGCATTCAAATATACACAGACACACAGACAGTGACAAATTAGCATATCTGTATCATCTGTTCGTGCTGTAGCAAGTTTGTTTACAGGGTGGGGTTGCTAGCCTCACGCCTGAGAAGGGGGTTGTTACATGTGTATGTATAGGTTACAGGAGAGCGACATTTTGTGTTGCTCCTCTTAGCATCAGGAAAACAAGGAATAAAGCAATGGGAACAACACCAGCAAAGGAGAAACAAATAAAAAAAAATTTACAACAGGAGGTCAACAGCACTCAGCATGAAAAATAAAAACCGGATTTCAAACTCCAATGTGAAGTCAGCGCTACTTACTATACGGACCAGAGACTTGGCGCGTCATGAAGAGCACCTCAAACAAACTACAGACCTTCATCAACAGCTGTCTTCGCTCAAGATCAGATGGCCGGCCAGAAAAGATCAGCAACAAGGATCTCTGGGAACAAACCGACCAGGAACTGATTGTGCAACAAATATGCAGGAAGAAATGGAGGTGGATTGTGGCCATACTCTGAGAAAACCATCAAGTGACATCACAAGACAGGCCATCGCTCGAGTGGAACCTGAATGGGAAGCGGCGAGTTGGTCGTCAGTGCGAGAGTGACATGGAGGAGGTGGTGATGTGAAGAGGAGATGAAAGCATGTGGGCAGACGTGGAGCCAGGTAAAAACGTCGGCAGAGAACCGAACGCAATGGAGATGTGCGATTGAAGCCTTATGTTCCTCTAGGAACTAAAGGAAAAAAAAATAATAATATCATCTATTATTTTTACTGTTCTTCCCTTGGGTTCCGAGTGGAACATAGGTCTCCAACAACACATCTCCATTTCGTCCTATTCCCTGTATTGCTTTTCAGCTTGCCCCAAGATTCCCTATAGTCCCTCATCTCCTCTAACTCACACAATTTCCTATATATTACTCTCACACTCACGCCCAACTCATCGCTCCCTTCCCATTCGGGCCCCAATCGATAGATAGCCTAGCGCGCGACGCCATTTGATGGTCTTCTCATCAGCGTGTCCGACCCATCTCCATTATCTTCAGGGAAATTCGTTGAGCAATAGGTTCTTCTTTCAAAAAGAAATTACTGGTGGTAAGCAGATAAACAGTATTCCTTATTCATTTGATGTGTGTATCCCCCCCCCAAAGTCTCTAATATATTCTCTCGCATATGCTATGCTTTCTAGTGTCACAGGTGTTAATGAAACCTGCTACCCTGGTTTCAATACAAATGACGTTCTAAAATGCCTCCAGTCGCTGAACCCTTCTTTTAGCCTAGGTCTAGATAGTGTGCCTAGCGTTATTCCTCACTGACATATTTAATGAATCGTTTTCCGGAAATATCGTGCCAGCCGTTTGGAAGGACATTAAAATTGCACCTATACTGGAACATGTATCAAGTTTAGACCTATTGCTATAAACTCTCCTTTTCTAAAATCTATGGTAAAGTAGCTCTTACTTGATATTGAACCTTAACTTAAAGCCTTTCACGATTCCAAACAATTCACCTACAAACATAGTAGAAGTACTTTAGATGTAGCTGCTGCCTTGCATCATAACACTGTTTCTAGTTTAGACAAAGGGGTTAAATTTGTTCGCTGCGCCTTCCTAGATTATACATCTGCTTTCGATTCAGTACCTAGGGATATTTTGTTAAATAAGCTTGCTATAACTCAAACTGAGCGTTGGGTTGTCAACTAGCTGCATTCCTATTTCTCAGGAAGAAAGCAGTACAATATATGTCAAGGGAAGTTGTCCACTTCATTGCTTACTGAGGCTGGAGTGCCTCAAGACGCTGTTCTTTCTCCTTTTCTGTTCTCTTTCTTCTTGCATACATGACTTGCCTCACTCTGATGAAATGAACTTTGTTAAGTATGCTGATGATCTAACTATTTCAATATCTGTTACCTCCGAGCTAGACGGTACTAAGATGAACAGCTCTCTATCAGGAGTTAGCAAATGGTTTTAAACTAAATCCTTCCAAATATCAGACTGTTAATTTCATTTTCTGATGTAAAAGAAAGTTAAATGAAGCTGTTAATTCCCATGACCGTTGTAAAATCGATGATATTGATATAGAAACCAAATCTGAAGTTCAGTTTCTTGGATTAATTCTTTCAACTGACCTATCCTGGTCTTCCCATGTCTTAGCGATTTCTAAAAAAAGTATTTCGTTTGACTTTTTACATTAAGAAGTTAAGGCACTCAGGCATAACTCAACCACTCCTCTTACAGTTTATCAACTCGTGTATTTTATCTATTCTTCTTTACTGTTCACCATTATTCTTTCCTGGATTGCTTAAAATAGACTACGTCATACTTCGTAGAACTTTGAAGACTGTCAGTAGGGCGAATGGTATCCCACTGGGCCATGGCCGTTGACATCATCACTAATAGGCATTTGATTTCTTGCAACAAATTTGCTTAAGGGATTTTGTCAGATTGTCAGCATCCACTTTACCCGTAGCTGTCCATTTGTATTTCCTCAGGTAGAACAAGAAGCCATTTCGAAAGACTTTATGGGAGCACGTTTAAGTATAAAAAAATCCCATAATACCATATTGAACACGTATTTATATATGATGAAAATAATGTCATTCCTTTTATAGTTATAGTCCCCTGATTTTTTTTCATAATTGTAAACATTATTTATGCTCTGTAGTAATTTTTTTAGTTTATTTTTGTTTTACCCCTCACCATGCGATGTCAAGAGGACGTACGAATCAATACTCTATAACCAGCTTAAAATTCCATACATTATCGACAATAATGGTTGAGAAAAACCCAATATTATTATTATTATCATAGTTATTATTCTCATTTTGTACTTTGCACATTTTTGACTTCACTTATAATGTTAACGTGAACAAAATCTTGTGGTTAATTTTATTTATATTTTGAGTAAATTAGATGCAATATTGTTGTGACAAATGCTGAAAATTCCACGCTTTATTATGAGTACTGTCTTTTTGGAATAAAGCAGCTTATTATTATTGTTGTTGAGGTTAGGCGTCGAGTGCTAGGTAAGGAGGGGAAATCAACCGACGAGGCTGTGAAGCTACATCGACTGAGATGGTTAGGACATGTGTTACGTATGCCTAGTCATCGTCTTCCTCGACAATGGGCAATGTTAGCTGACATAGGGTCAGGCTGGAAAAGAGCTAGCGGCGGTCAAACCAAAACATGGTTCATCAGTCAATGAAATCTACAACAGTTAGTCCAAGCCACGTAGGAAGGTGTAGACTTCCTGACTGGTTGGGGTCCTCGGGACGGTAAAAACCAATGAAGGCTGGAAACAATTGGTGACATGGCTCAAAATCGTTCTCAATGACTGGTGAAGATGCATCCACTCCTTGTGACTTATGATTTCCAATGAAACTATATTGTTCTTCGTTGTTACTATTCCTTTGTCTCACACCTCTGTTTACTGTCTCTATTACGCATTTCTTCTACTTTCTTCTCTTGCTTTGTGGGCTACATGGGAGAGTGTGGCGACTTGAAGTGCACATCGGTGCAACGTTCTATTTTGAAAACAGACAGACAGAACTCTTTCTGGCTAGTCATCTGATCTTCAGTACGAAGCTAAAGAAGGCAGTTGTTGATTGATAAAAGTCTACAATGGCCTGTTGAAAATACTTTTCGTGAGATGAGCTCCAAGTCTCTGACTCATATACACGAACTGAATGACGTGAAATTAATGTTGAAAATCCGAATCTTGTTTTTTTTGATACCCCGGGTGGAGTGCGGAAGATTTCCAAACTGATTTCAGAAATGTTGAAGGTCTGCCACGTGTTTCCGATTATGGCATTGATATCTTTGTCTGTCACAACAACCTGCAGTTGAAACGATGCTGCCTGGTGAGATAAGTGAAGGAAGTGACCTCTTTCACATTCCCTCCGTTGATAGTGACTAGTGTTCGTTATTGTTGGTTGGTAGTTGGTTGGTTATCCTCATCACTTTAGTCTTTTCTATGTTTACTTCATGTGCTGATTTTGTTGCTTCTTCTGTCTGCTTGTTGTGATTATTATTATTGTTTCCCTCAGTTCCTAGAGGAACATAGGGCTTCAGCCGTGCGTCTCCATTGCGTTCGGTTCTCTGCTAGAGTCTTCACCCGGCTCCAAGTCAACCCACACGTTTTCACCTCCTCTTCACATCACCTCCTCCAAGTCACCCTTGCACTGACGACCAACTCGCTGCTTCCCTTTCGGGTTCCACTCAAGGAATGGCTTGTCTAGTGATGTCACTTGATGCATTGTTTCCTCAGAGTATGGCCAATCCATCTCCATTTCCTTCTGCATATTTGTTTCACAATCGGTTCCTGCTGGGTTGGTTCACTCATTGCCAGAGATCTCTGTTGCTGATCTTTTCTGGCCATCTGATCTTGAGTATTGAGCGAAGACAACTGTTAATGAAGGTCTGTAGTTTGTTTGAGATGCTCTTTATGACGCGCAGTGCAAGTCTCTGATCCGTATAGAGTAGTACTGACTGACTCCACATTGGAGTTGGAAATCCGGATGTAATTTTCATTTTCATGCTGAGTGCTGTTGACCTCCACAGACTTGAGAGTAGTGAAAGCTTGTCTTGCTTTTCCGATTCTTGCTTTGATATCCTCGTCAGTTCCGTCTGTCTGTAGTTGAAACGATGCTTCCTAAGGTAGGTAAAAGAGGTTGTTTCTTTCAGGTTCCTCCCATTTATGTTGATTGTTGTCTGTTGTTGTTGTTGCTGTTGGTGGTGTTGCCCAGGAATCTTCATCACCTCTGTTTCATCTATTTTCACCTGAAGTCCTATCTTTGATGCTTCTTCTGCCAACTTGTTGCTTTTCGCTTGCATATCTTCCAGTTTGTGGGAAATCAGACATATATGGTCGGCGAAGTCCAGATCCTCCAAGTTTTTTGTGTGAGTCCATTTTATGCCTGTTCCCTCATTGCCCACTGTCTGTCGCATTATCCAACCTACTGCAATCAGGGAAATAATTATCGATAATAGGCAGCTCTGCCTTACTCCTGTCCTCACTTCGAGGGATTCCGTGAGTTTCCCGTTGTGGATTAGTTGGCATGCAGCACTGTCGTACAGCTGTTGGATGAGATGTATAATTGTCGGTGGCACATCGTAGTAGCGAAGTAGTTTCCAAAGCCCCTCTCGATCGACGTTGTCGAATGCCTTTTCAAAGTCGATGAAATTATGTGATATTACACATAAATCGTCCGCCTCCAAATCCAGATCTTCCATAGTCTTCTCATTAGTCCACACTGAGACAATGTGTTAATAAAAGAAAACAGAAGCAGAATGACGCTAAACTAACAGAGAGAAAAAAAGGTGTGAAAGAATTGATTGAAGACAAGTGTAATTAAAATCCAGATCCCCGCAACAAATTCCTCACGTACCAGGGGCTATGAGTTAAACTATTTGTACGACAGGTGATGATGATGATGATGACCATGATACTACCCAGTCACCCGGGATTCGAACCTAAGACGTATCACAGCTGTAAGTGGAATGCTTAACCTAGTAGGTGTTTAAAATTTCAAAGAGAGAGAGAGAGAGTTTGAGCTACGTTATGACTAGTCACTCCAGTCAATCATCTTTAGCAACACCAAAAAGGTCATAACTAGGCTACAGAGGTGATGAAGATTCCTGGTCAACACCGCCAACAGCAACAACAATGACAGACAACAATCAACATAAATGGGAGGAACCTGAAAGAAACAGCCTCTTTTACCTACCTGAAAAGCATCTTTTCAACTACAGGCGAACGGAACTGACGAGGATGTCAAAGCAAGATAAGCTTTCACTACTCTCAAGTCTGTGGAGGTCAACAGCACTCAGCATGAAAATGAAAATTACATCCGGATTTCCAACTCCAATGTGGAGTCAGTCAGTACTACTCTATACGGATCAGAGACTTGCACTGGGCGTCATAAAGAGCATCTCAAACAAACTACAGACCTTCATTAACAGTTGTCTTCGCTCAATACTCAAGATCAGATGGCCAGAAAAGATCAGCAACAGAGATCTCTGGCAATGAGTGAACCAACCCAGCAGGAACCGATTGTGAAACAAATATGCAGAAGGAAATGGAGATGGATTGGCCATACTCTGAGGAAACAATGCATCAAGTGACATCACTAGACAAGCCATTCCTTGAGTGGAACCCGAAAGGGAAGCAGCGAGTTGGTCGTCAGTGCAAGGGTGACTTGGAGGAAGTGATGTGAAGAGGAGGTGAAAACGTGTGGGTTGACTTGGAGCCGGGTGAAGACTCTAGCAGAGAACCGAACGCAATGGAGACGCACGGCTGAAGCCCTATGTTCCTCTAGGAATTAAAGGATACAATATGTATATATATATATATATATACATATATAATATAGGCTACCTCTATACATACCACACTTTGGATCAGACCAACATACAGGCCCTTCATGCATCTTTGAAGTGTTTAATTCAATTTAAATTTTCTTGTCAACTGACTGAGACCGAGCACTTCGGTCCAATCAATCGATGGGAAAATCTAAAATTGAATTAAATAATCAATAAGACCCATTGCACAAGAGATGGCTCTCTTGACCCAGATCGTCTAGTGGATAACGCTTTAGCGTTTGAAACTACGGGCAGTGGGTTCGAGCCTCAGTGGGAAAACTATCACTCACTGAGGAATGCAGGTACATCCAGTGGCTGACGAGTCCCAAATAGGGGGAAATGCGCATCCTGGATCTCACTGTTAATCATCATCCACCAATCTGTGAGGTGTTTTGCACTGACTACTCATAACTTTGTAAGGAACTTCACGAAAATAAAAAAAATACACCAATGGGACAACACGTCAAATCAGTAGTGGCAAACTTGAATTGAAGAACAAGGTAAGTAAAATAGGCGCACAGTCTTTTTGTCAGCTTATATAGAAGAGTGGGCAGAATGATTTGCTTTATTCCAAAACAGCACATATGTGATACAGAGTGTGGAATTCTCAGCATTTGGTACAATATTATTGCATCTAATTTACTCGACAACAGCAAAACCAAAAAAATATTACAGGGTACAGGTAACCAGAATTGATCAATAACAGCTTTTTGGTATTAGCAGTGACAATAAAGTCAAAACTCTGTACAAAGAGTGTAGAATAGTGATAATAATTGTAACAGCTAAAATTATAAGTTAGTTGAAATATTTTCACCATAGATTACAAACAGGAGAGGATGAAAGAGACAATTATTTTTGCTAATTACATGGTAAGTCGTAGGTTTCATGATTAACACTCTCTCTACCACATAGAACGTGGGCAGGCCAAATAGAGTATCGCTGAGTTTTTGTACTTGATTGTGCGAGCGAGCAGATAATCTTTTATAATGATTTCTTCTAATCCTATCTGATGAGATGGAAGGCGGGGAGAGTTGAGAATAGAGAGGGTGTTGAGAGACAGACAATATGGATTTAGACCATTTCTCACATGAGCTCAGATGTCTGTCGACTACAGTAGTAAGAAGTTGGCTGACTTAGTGGTGGCACACTACTTGCCCTACTGACAACCTTTAATACCTTTCAAAATACGACATAGTCCTTTTTGAGTAGCTCAGAAAAGAATGAGAGGAACAGTAAAGAACAATAGGTAAGATGCAAGAGTTAACAAACTGTAAAAGTAGAGGTTGAGGGATACCTACCTGATTGTTTTGACTTCTTAATGTAGTGGGTTAGACGGAACGCTTTCTTAGAAATCAGAGGATAGAACTATTTCCAAAGTATTCTATGTTTAATTTTCAAGTATTGGTTTTGTAGGGATTTTTGTTTGATTGCATGGAGGATTTCATCATGAGCTGATATCAGTTAGAGAACCACTGGAAAACCTGGGATTACTGGACAGCTGTTTCGTCCTAGTTTGGGACTCTTCATCAGTACGCACCCACCGGGGTTCGAACCCAGGACCTTGGATCGGGTCCCAGTGGCTCAATGGTCTACGAGCTCGCCTTGTAACCAGAAGGTCCTGGGTTCGAACCCCGGTGGGTGCGTACTGATGAAGAGTCCCAAACTAGGACGAAACAGCTGTCCAGTATTCTATGTTTAACTTAGTTTCAATTTCAGTGCCATCTATGCTACTCTACAAGCATCTTGTGAACACACCAGTTCGTGTAGATCACATTTATGCCTAAAGGTGAAGTTGATTGTCCGAAATCTATGGAGATTTAACATAAGACCATTTAGCTTAGACTATTGGCTGATGTCCAACAAAACATCTATTCAGTTTGGAAGAGTCAGACAGGGATGTAACTACTGGCAGTGAGACAGTCAGACAAAATCTCCTGAAACCACATTTTTACAAAAGGCGGTGAAAACTCGGAAAAACAAACTACGAATTAAGGTGTAAGTGTGCAATGTACAGCTTCAAGATTGGTTTCTACTTAAGGAATTTGGTAAAAATAAGACAGCGTAATACAGAGGAAATGATTCCCATAACACGTTTATCTTCTTTTTATGTCACAGTGCACACATTCAAAACTGACTTAAACGCATACTTGCAACATACAGAGCTTTGTGACAACTTATACAACACACCGGTTGCAATGATAACAACCTCCTGTTCACCACTTTTAGAAGTTGCAACGACCTTATGAATGGCGAACGATTCACAATACTGATACACATTCTCGGAACAAAATATGCACGTGGTGCTAAACAGTTTGGGTGATAAAACTTATCAAAGTAAAAATAAAAATAACGAACCTCTACAAAGACAACTGACGCTGAAGTCCACGATAAACAGGGAATAAGTGATATAGGTTTCGGCCAAACAGTTGCACATAATCCTGCCATCTAATTAACAAAGGCATAAAGAAAAGAGGTATATAATAACTAGAATTAATTCACGATTTATGCGTATCTAGAAAACATTACATAGTTTTAAGGATTACAGGACAAAATCATTACATCACAATGATATTTGTTGAACTATACCATCGTGAAAAGAGATAGTGCCGTGGTGGTGGACAAACCAGAGCATGGGGTCAGTCCACGAAGTCGTCGAAAATTGGTTTGAGCCAACCATGTAGTGAGGTGTAGACTGCCCGGTTGCTGCTCTCGAGATTGCAAGAACACCAGTGGCTGGAGATTGCTGGCGATTTGGCTCAAAATAGTTCTGAATGACGGCTCAGAGGCATGCACTCTGTGTGATCTCTCATATCGATTAAAACACTAGCGACTTGCCCTATTCAGGTAGGTAGTTACCTGGGGCTCTAGTGAGAAGCCGTGACCAGTAGGGTGCAGCAAGTCGGGTGTGAGGACAAATACTCGCCGAAGACATTGGCTAGGGGTCGCGCTATGTCGTGAATTGGCAGAAGTTAGAATTCATGGGCCATTAGATCGGGTCCCAGTGGCTTAATGGTCTACGAGCTCGCCTTGTAACCAGAAGGTCCTGGGTTCGAATCCCGGTGGGTGCGTACTGATGAAGAGTCCCAAACTAGGAAGGAGGAAACAGCAGTCCAGTGCTCCCAGGTTTTCCAATGGTTCTCTAACTAATGTCAGCTAATGATGAAATCCTGTAACCTATCAAATCTCTACAAACCAACACTTAAAACACTTTTGTTTTTTTCCCATGTGTCAGGATTCTTTCTCCCTCACATTTCGGGTTGTTGTCGCCTTTCCGAATCTCTTTGGCTGTCTCTCTTTAGTCTTCCTTTGTGTAGTACATCGACTGTGGCAACTTGAATTAGTGCACACATCTGTGCAAAGTCGACTGAACTGAGTTTTCTTAGTGACACACTCCACATAAATTTTCAACATGAATACTGGAAAACCACTTTCAGTCACAGCATTTCCATAAGACAGATTGTCAGACTTGGAAATGACAAATATAATAAATTTATAAGGGACAGAACTGAGGTCTATTTGCCATAATCACGAAGAATCAGCCTGAATTATTTGAGCAAATACGCCCTCAGTTCCTGATTCCCGTTTATATGGCATCACAAAAGAATGCACTACGTCCAATCTTGGTATACAAATTCCGCATATCTGCTACTGCCAAATGGCTCCAGACATCTTCCTACCTATCAGAAATTTATAATATATGAGGCCTTAAGCTTTCACTTATACATCACACATGGGAGCAAAGGAGCCACTTCTAATGTCAAACAAGTTTCATACGCAAGATTGTTGCTCAAACTCAGTTTCTCAGCGCAGTAGGCTGATGAGACCACCTAGCAACCCAGATTAAAGTACGTGGAATGGTATTCGAACACTGTACATACGCCTTTAAATGAAAGCCTTAGTAAATGACACCCCTTGAAGGACAATTTCATATTATGTATAACAAGCACAAAAAAAACATGTCAACTGAAGGAGAATAATATTATTACTAAACTGTTTTATTACTCAGTGAGTAAAATTAAAACAACACTGCTTTTACTTACTTACGCTTTGCTCATTAATAGCTTTATCAAACTAGTAATAAGTAAAGCAGAGTTTACAAAATCTCAGCTATAAGCTATGGCATATCAACCACAGTTGTTGTTCTTCTGTATAAGATAATTCTGCATTGTCAAGTAAGTCAATTAGTACAGATTAAAAACAAGTGCACCAAAGACAGGACTTCAAGTAAACATAGAGATATAGGCAGAGGTGATGAAGATGCAGTTCGAAAACAGGACTGCAGGTGAACACAGAGAAGACGGACGTGATGAAGATAACCAATCAACAGCAACAACAACAACAACCAGCACCAATCACCATCAACAGGGTGGCTTTAATAGAGGTTGCCTCCTTCGCTTATCTCGGAAGCATAGTTTCAACTACTGGCGGAACGGATGGAGATGTCAAAGTCAGAATCGGAAAGGCAAGGTATGCCTTCATCAACCTGAAACCAGTTTGGAAATCTTCTGCACTCCGCCTCAGCCAGCATAAAGAACAAGATTCGGATTTTCAACACAAATGTGAAGTCAGTCAGTCAGTCAGTTCTTCTATATGGGTCAGAAACTTGGCGTGTCACGAAAGGGATTTCCAACAGGCCACTGCAGACTTTCATCAACAGCTGCCTCCTTCGCTGGTTCCATACTGAAGATCAAATGGTCAGAAAGAATAAGCAGCAAGAAACTCTGGCAGTGAACAAACCAACAGGCGAGAGCCGACCGATCAACAAATATGTAGGAAAAAGTGGAGATTGATCGGGCGTACATTGAGGAAGCCGCCGAATGACATCCCACGCTAGGCCTTCGAATGGAATCCTAATGGAAAGCGACGAGTGGGTCGTCGGCGTGAGGGTGACATGGAGGAGGTCAGATGGGGAAGAGATGAGAGAGTTTGGTCAATCGTGGACCCGGTTGAAGAGGACGGCAGAAGACAGAACAAAGTGGGGATATGTTTTTGAAGCCCTATGTTCCACTCGGAACGCAAGGGAATAATAATAAATAATGAAGATAACCAAGCAACCAACAACACCAAGCACCAATCAATGTCTACAGGGGAAATTTGAAAAAGGTCACTTCCTACACTTATCTCACCATGCAGCATTCGTTTCAACTACAGACAGTTTGCACGGATGTGGATGTCAAAACCAGAATCGGGAAGGCAAAACAAACCTTCATCACCCTGAAATCAGTTTGGAAATCTTCTGCACTCCACTCGGGGCATAAAGAACAAGATTCGGAATTTCAGCACCGATGTTAATTCGGTCACCTCTTCTATATTGGTGAAAAACTCGGTCAGGGAGTGACGAAAGGCATTTCCAACAGGCTACTGGAGATTTCTATCAACGGCTGCCTCCTTCGTTAGCTCCATATTGAAAATCAGACGGCCAGTAAGAAAGAATTAGCAAGGAGAAAGCATAGGAACAAACCAACCAAGAAACTATATTATTATTATTGTTCCCTTGGGTTCCGAGTGGAACACAGGGCTTCAACAACACATCTCCACTTTGTTCTATTTTCTGCCATCCTCTTCAGCTGGGTCCACGATTGCCCATACTCTCTCATCTCTTCCTCACATGATCTCCTCTATGTCACCCTCGCTCGCACCGACGACCCACTCGTCGCTCCCTATTAGGATTCCACCCTAGTGATGGTCTGGCGTACGATGTCATTCAATGTTTTCCTCAATGTATGCCCAATCCGCCTCCATTTTCTCCTACAAATTTGTTGAGCAATCGGCTCCCGCCTGTTGGTTTGTTCACTGCCAGAGTTTCTTCCTACTAATTCTTTCAGACCAGCTGACCATTTGATCTTCAGTATGGAACGAAGGCATCTGTTGATGAAAGTCTGAAACCTGTTGGAAATCCGAATCTTGTTCCTTATGCTGAGTGTAGAAGATTTCCAAACTGGTTTCAGGTTGATGAAGGCGTATCTTGCCTTTCCGATTCTGGCTGGTTTTGACACATTCATCCGTTCCGCCTGTAGTTGAAACGATGCTTTCTAGATAAGTGAAGGAGGTAACCTTTGTTAAATCTCTCCTGTTGATGGTGATTGGTGCACAACAAATATTCCGAAAAAAATGCAGATAGATTGGACAAACACCACTGAGGAAACCATCGAATGGCATCGCGCGCCGGGCATAATCTCATGTGGAACGACGAGTGGGTTGGTCTAGGGTGACATGGAAGAGATTGTGTCAGGTTGAAATGCGATACACTATGGTCAATCAAGGGACTAGCTAAAGAGGACTCCAGAAAATAGTGAGTGAAGTGGTAGAACACGTTGACCGCTTCACTTATTTGGGAAGTACCATAAGCCCCAACGGTTGATCTCTGACGAAATCTCAGTACGGATACAGAGGGCTAGTTTCGCATATGCCAGTTTACACAGTCTCTGGCGTAGACGTGATATCCGGCTATCGACCAAAGGGTGGGTGTACTGCTTAGCAGTCCACTCCGTCCTCTTTTATGGCTGTGAGACATGGCCATTGAGAGTGGAAGGTATGAAAAGATTAGCTGCCTTCGATCACAGGTGCCTGCATTCTATCTCCCGAGAGAAGTCGTATAATAAGGTGAGCAATCCTGAGGTTAGGCGTCAAGTTCTAGGCAAGGAGGGGAAATCAATAGACGAGGCTGTGAAGTTACACCGATTGAGATGATTAGGACATGTGTTACGCATGCTAGCCTAGTCATCGCCTTCCTCGACGGGCAATGTTAGCTGACATAGGGGCAGACTGGGAAAGAGCTAGCGGTGGTCAAACCAAAACATCGCTACATCAGTCAATGAAATCCACAACAGTTAGTTTAAGCCAGCCAGCCACGTAGGAAGGTGTAGACTTCCTGACTGGTTAAGATCCTTGGGACGGTAAACACCAATGGCTAGAGACAATTGGTGATATGGCTGAAAATCGTTCTCAATTGGCTGGCGCAGATGCATCCACTCTTTGTGACTTATAATTTCCAATGAAAATATATTGTATTCCAATATTACTATTCTTTTGCCTCATATCTCTGTTTACTGTCTCTATTTTGCATTTCTTCTCTTGCTTTGTGTGCTACATGGAGTGTGGCGACTTGAACTGCAGCACATCGGTGCAAAGTTCTGTGTTGAAAACAGACAGACAGACAGCAGAAAATAGGAGGAAGTGTAAATGTGTTGTTGAAGCCCCATATTCCACTTGGAAACCAAGGGGGTAACAACAATAATTACATGATAAAAACATGTGGATAATGATGGATTTGATAAGTATACGGAATTATAAAATTAGTACGTGTGTACTTAATCAAAATTGTGTTTATCCGATTTGGGTTGACAATATTATTGATCTGTTACAGTCAAATTCTTTTTTAATTCGTCATTCTAGTCTGAACAATTTGAATTTAATTTTAAATTATATTAATATAACAGCTTCAC